TCACCACCCTGGCAGGGAATCAAACTGGTTCTGAAGGCCAGCTGAGGCCAGGTTCATAGTGCTGTGATTTAACCCGTTTTGCCACCAGGGAGGGCCCAGTACATTTTTAAGATGGTATTTTCTTAGCCACATATAGTCATTTGTATGTCAATAAATACTGAGTCTTCCACCTTTCTATGTAATATTTTTATCTTTATTAGGAGATAGGAAAGGACAACTGTGGAGATAATGTTATGCTAGAAGGTTACATGTGCCTTTAAATTTGTTGGTCTTGAGTGGGGGGGAGAGAATGTGAGAGAAAGTATGTGTGTGTGTGTGTGTGTGTGTGTGTGTTTGAAAGAGAGAGAGAGATAAGGTGTTGGGATTGTTTATTAGATAGAGTTTCATAAATCATTGCTTTTTTTTAAATCTTAAGGTGACAAAAATTTGTTTAACTTAAAAATTACTGAGATTGAGTATTATCAAAGGTAAGGAAATATGAAACACTAATTTTTCAGATATTGACAAGTTTTAATCCTAAATCAAGAGCCACACATTTAGAAGTTACTCATTTTAGGATAACACACAACTAGCTTAAATTTAATAAGGTGTAATACATTTAGTGAATATAATACAATATTTGATCATAGCAAATTTTATTTGGGAAATAACAAAAAGAATTCTGAAAGTTGTGTTTTTTGTTTTGACAGTTATTACCTATTAGTATTGACAGTTATTACCTATTAGTATTATTTTTATGTGTAATTATTTTTAATAGAATAAAATGTGAATACTTTAGAGTTTAGTGATTTCTGTGTTAGTCATTCCCAGTACCATGCAAAAGAAATCAGTTTGGTGTGAATCTGAGAATATGTTTCCCATGCCATCTCAGGGTATAACTCCACCAGGGATTGTTCCAGTTCTCACTTCATTGAACAGCATGAACAACACAGTTGCACCATCTGCCAGTTATAATATGAAGAATGAGCCCAAGGGACTCAGTGTGTTCAAACAGGAGAAGCAGAAGGTTTGTTTTAGGGAGCTAAGAGACATAGGAGTCTACTAATGTTACTGGTTGCATTAATGTAGTTACCTGGTACCTATGTAGTATTTTCAAAATGTAATATGAAGTAGATAGAGTTGAAATCTTCAACTGTTTAAAATTACAGTGTAGCTACAAATCACTTAAAAATCATTTATAGAAATTCTCTATTAAAAAAAAAACATTTAAGCCTTGAGTGGTAACAAATAACATTATAAAGTTTATGTAATTCTTGTCACTAAGATTTTGGGCGTCATATTCTAAAAAAAGTATTTAGCAGCTTATTTGAATAGATTAGTAGACTTACTAGTAAAAGTAGAGCTGGTAAGCAGTTGCTTTCCAGGCAAGTAATTGTGCTTATGCTAAAACAAATAGTTTTAATACTGATGTATATTTTATCAAATACAAATAATGGTGATCCCTCTTTAACTGTCACTGATAGCTATTTCAGTTCCTCAGAATATCACAATTTATGGTCAAATCCCTTAAAATCATAGGAAGAGTTAAACTTAAGGGGTGTGTGTGTGTGTGTACACATATGCGCAGATGCGTGCATACAAGCTTAACATTTAGCATATCAGTAGATAAAGGTGACTTTTTGGTTGTATAATGCGGAATATCCTTTTTACCGTTGTTTGCATACTAGAAACTTCAGGAGCTTTACTATTTGAACAGGTTGCTTATATGTTGATTTGTCTTTGTGGAGAATTATACCTTAAAAAGTAATCTGATTTTAAAAAAAAAAAAGCTAATAGTTTTAAAAATTTTGTGACTTTAGTTATATTCCAGGAAATATGATTCTAAAAGGTAATAAACTGGTTGTTTAATGAGACAAACATTCTATCACCTTATTAATCAGATACAGTCTCTTAATTCCCAGGTTAAGGCTTTAATTATGCCTTTGACCACTTTATGCCATAGTGCTTTGCTTTAGCCTTTGACTCTTATATTTATATCCCTACTCATGAAAGCTACAAGAATGTATTAGTTTTCGTTAAGTCCTTCCTGCAAAAAACTACTTTGCCCTAAATTTTACTTTTCCTCTTCTTTTTCCAATTCCTAGCTTGCTCTTTTTCTAAGGTTATTGAAAAGGAATACAGAAGTAAAATCAACTTATAACTGAAGGAGGGATTACTGCAAATAGGCTGAATAACATAAAATAGTGGAAAGGAAAATAGTGGAAATGTAACAAGATATGGTATATATATGATTTTTTTTGTCTTAATAGTGTGGCCTTGATCTTTTCAGTTTATTCTAAGTTGCAGTGTTATGTTAATATTATGTTATTATTTATCAGTTTCCTAAGAGCTGCAGCATGTTGAATCCCTTAGTTTGCTTGTTTCATGGTTCATGGAACAGTGGATGGTCTGAAACAACTCTGAAGGAACAAGCTGTTTTTCTGAAACCAAATTTCACTAATGGAACTCCTGAATGAATTGAATCATACATTTAAAGTTAATACCATTTAAAGTTATAGCAGCCTAGTGTTTTCCATCAGGCTTTTCAGATTGTTACTACAAGAGTGATCATCTTTATCCCCCTCTCTCCTCTAACCCCCTAGCAAAATTAGGTTATATAAGCTTGTATTTTAAATATATGTAAATAAATTTCAGCAATGCTATGTATGTTGATTAGTTTGTAGGAGGCTTAAATATTCTGTGAAAAACTATTATTCTCTGTAACTTGATTCATGATTCATTTGGCTCATTTTTGCAGTGTGTTTAAGCTTCACTTTCTCTTGCATTCTAGTTTTATTTTTGTGTTACACACAAATTTGTTATGATACTTTTTGTTGTAAGAGCCTTATAGCAACATTAAGAAAATTTTTAATTAAAAAGTAAGGTGTTTAATTATATTTAAATGTAAGTATTTAAAAATTATGTATTTAAAAATGAGTATTTGCTCCCATTTAAAATCACAAAGTATGGGTAGCTACCTTTCATTTGTTTAATAATATGAAGTGCTTAATTTTTGATAAGGCACAGTGTAGAAAGTTTACAACATAGAATGTACATTTAAACGAGTAAAGGAAGATAAAAATGGTCTATGTATGCTGAGTTTATAAAATGTGTATATGAAAAAATATTGGAAGGCATTATAATGGATGCGTTGGATTGATGAGACAGTGGAAGGTTATTTCCTCTTACAATTCTAAATTTCCTAAAATTTCAAGAATATTTAAAAATAAGCCAGTTTTTAATGAGATGATTTTTCATTTTAATTTTTTTACTTGTTGGCTTTAGGTATATTGTTGGTATCATCTCTTACCTTCGTGGTTTGCTTTCTAGTAAAATATTCATTTCCTAATTCTTGACTAAAACTTAGAGATTCCTCAGTTGCCTTATTATTGACTATTGCCTTTGTCTGTATGGAGGAAGGCAGGATGCTACCCTCATTTTCAAAATTTGGACTTGTTGTAGTTTGGAATTTGAACTTGGCTTAGAAAATTATTTTGAAATAAGTTCTAGTTGCTGTTAAGAGAATCAGAAAGAATACTGACAGAACAAAATATATCTGATACATTTTTATTAATAGAGATGGGATTGAGGGGGGAGGACAAGAGTAAAGAATGAGAGCTAGCAAGAGAAAAATTCAGAAGGAAATTGAAGTAGGCTTCTTAACCCTTCATAACTGTGCAGCTTATGTAGAAATGCTTGAATGTTGACAAATAAATATATAGTGTTTTATGTTACAACATATTAACTTTATTGTAACACTGTTATAACCTCATAACATTATTATAACCTTATTATAACATTTTAATATTTACTTAATGATTGAGGCATAGTGATCACATTCCCTTCATAAGAAATAATGGTATTCCCTTTTGAACAGTTATTTATATTTGATACATAGTAGGGAACTGGGATGGTGTGGTAAGGTGTACGCTCATCGTACTAATGAGTCTGAGATATGACATTGTTGATTTTGGAAATGTTTTTGTTAGAAGTTTAAAACCTATTAATAAAGCAGTTTATATCTCTCTTTACCTAAAGCAAAATTACTAGCATGTGCATTTTTAATTAAAAAGATTTGTTTCACCAGATTGTTATGTTGTGTATGATGGTATAAATTATGATAGGGAGAAGGATATTGAGGCATTTTAGACCACATGCTCTGGAATACTTAGGCACTGCCCTAGGTAATTTTATCTTCATGAGTTTGCCACTACTTTCAAATAGGTAAGTGTAAGTTTCAAATAGGTAAGAATTCAGATTTTGGGGCTCATAGTATATTAAAACTGCCATTGTGATTCCATATTGAATCTTATAAATTGTTACTAATTATTTGAAAGGAATTATTGATATTTAATATGATGGATTTAACGCCCATCCTCTTATATTTTGTTCTGACATATTTGTGTTAATTATCTTCTTCCTTTCAACATTTATATCCTTCAGTTATTCCCCTTCTCCCCCCCCCCGCCCCAATAGTTTTTCTTTAAGTGTTTTTCTTAGGAAATCACACATAATTTCATTGGCTTGATTCCAGTAACACCCCCTACCCACCAGAACCTGAAAATGATCTTTATATTTGGGGTTTGGTTGGTAGAGATCTTTTAACATATTTCTGTTGAATAACTGTGGTGGGTCATAGTGCTAAGTTTAGGGATGATTAGGGAAATGACTCTTGCTCTTCAGTCTTTGAAATGTCAGATACATTATTATGGTATATGATAAGTTCTATGCTAGAGGTAAGTGCAAAGGGTTAGAGTAGAGGAGGAAGTGGGATGCTTATTTTGACTTACTGCTGACATTTACTTACTTTAGTCATTCTAAAATTGTTGACAGATGACCATTTTTTTAAATTTATTTTTTATGTATTAAACATAAATGAAGAACCTTACTAATGAAACGGAAATTTGTCAAAGCTTTTCATTTAGATACCTTTTTAAAAAGAATTACATGGAATTTAAAGTTTGTTTAAAAGCTATAAAGGAGATTGGGTCAGTTAAATTCTCCGTATCTTTGTAATACAGAATGACATGGAGCCTAGCAAAGCTGTTCCACTAAATGCATCTAAACAAGATGGACCCATGCCAAAACCGCATAGTGTTTCACTCAATGATACTGAAACAAGGAAACTCATGGAGGAGTGTAAAAGACTTCAGGGAGAAATGATGAAACTATCAGAAGAAAATCGACACCTGAGAGTAAGTTCTTTGAAAAGTAGTTGGTTTAAATGAAGGCGTAGAATATGTGAACATTGTTAGTCCATCATACCATTTTTAAAATTTAACCTTGGTTAATTCTTTCACCTCTCCAATTTGGTTATGTCTTGGCCTTTGCTTTCCACTCTTTAATTTTAGTTTTTTCCCAGGATTTTTATATTACCTGCAAATTCCTTTCCTAGAAAGTGTGTCCTAGTGCTCTGTCCTGTGGCATTCTAGCTTCCTCTCTTGTTCATACTAAAACCTTCACATTCTGTTCCCTGGTTATATGAACTGCCCTGAACAGTGCTGTTTCATATGGGCATTTGCTAGTCTTAATGGGACTATTTTATATTCGGATGTAGTTATTTTGAGATTTGCTGAGTGTAAAGTACACACTGTTTTCTTAGACTTAGTATAAAAACTAATATTTCAAATAGATGTATATTGAAATATTAAGTTGGCTATGTTGAATCACATCAAGTATATTATTGAACTTAATCTTATTGAAAAACTTAGAATTAATTGATAGCATTTGTTTGAAACTCATTGCGCTTGTGGACAGCATTGTTTGGGTGAGAAGTCTCTCTATTAGGATCCCATTTTTGCTTTAGCTTAAAATTTAAGTACTTTCCTGTGACTGGAATGCCCTGAGATCCTGTTCTCCTCTCTACACAGTGCATACATACACTGCTATTTGTTACTCAGTGCTCTGTTCTTACCATCTCTTCAGTATAACTTTTTTCTTGTACTCTTTCCTTCCCAGAAAAAAAGAAAAATGGTTTTTATATGTTATTTCCTTTGTGTTTCCATTGTACCTCTTGCATTTCCCTACCTCTGTTTGTTGGAAGTCTTTCCCCTTTAAGTGGGGATTTGTTCCCTTGGAGATATATGGATGCATCTTTGCATTTATATCACATGCATATTTCAGTGACTGGATGGTTGAGGTGAATGAGGACTAATGTAACTATATGTGGAATCATTATTTGTTTGCCTTTGATAAGTAAATACTTACTTTAAGAACTGAATACCTCTAAATTACTTTTAAAGGCTTAATTTGAAGCTTTTTGTATCAAAGTAGATACATAAATGAAAATAAGCTAAACTAAGGGACTTAATCTACATTTGATTATTCCTTTTGTTAAATCTATATAGGAAGTATCCCTAAATCAAAGGTGCTATATCTTGAGTTGACTTGGTTTTAATAATTTTTCTGGGTACCTCTTCATATTCCGTAGTATACCCCTTTGAATGTCCCTCAAATACCACCCTGCCCCTTTCTGGATAGTGGAGAGAATATCTTCATTTCACACATCCACATACCATTGCTTTTGTAAAGGAGGTATTCTTTGTTACTTTTAATTTATCTATCATAACTTCCATAGGTTCTGAGGAACCTATTGTTCTTTGAAAGATGTGCCTCTTAGTGTGCTCAGTGGATTTGTTCAAAATTCCCTGTCTCTTGGGAGGCAGGGAAGTGGAAGTGCTAGCAATGCTATAGGTGGGGCAGGACTGGAAAATAGAATTGCTGGGAGAGAGTTAAGTGAGACTTGATTCCTGGTCTGTATAGGCAGGTTTCCTATAGGAGATGATCTTTAAAAAATCATTCTGCTGTTTAAAAGAGGGAAACATAGCAGGAACTCTTCAGAATTAACTTTTTTGTAATCTTTTAGCATTTCATATTTAAGTCCCACCTTGATTGCCAAATTAACTTTCTTGAGCTTGTTTTGACACTGCCCCATTTTATTTCTCTAGTCCTGTGATTCTTAACCTGATTGTGCTTCTAACTCTCAGTGAATTATTTAAAAATAAACATGTTCAGGGCCTCCCCGCAATCCTAAGTGAATCAGAATCCCTAGAACATTTTTTTTTTTTTAAATCATTGTTGGGATTAAGAAATGTCGCTTTTCCCACACAGGACTAATTAGCATGATGGTTTTACTCCACAAACTAGAAAATCTGGTAATACAAATAAAACATAAACACACTAGAGGAATCATTTTGAGGACATATAAATTAGTTTGCACTGAGGAAGTAAAAGTATGTTCTGCCATTCATGCTGTTGACATGGTGGACACATGTTAAGGCAGCTGATTAGGTCTCAGTATTATTCCCAATCATACTGTAGCTGGTAAAGTCAGAATAACTTGCTTTGAGTGACTATTGCCTTTTTATTGAGAAACTTTGCATATATTCTTGACTGTCAAGAAACTTACCTTTGTGAAACTATCAGTAAGAACAAAGCAGCTAGTTTGTGTCTGGAAGATGAAATGCTACGTCACTTCAGTGCAGAGCAGTGACTTCTATTTTCAGTTCGGGTGTAGAGTTTCAGATATGGGAAGATGTTGTATACAACTGTATACATCTATTGTAATCAATAGTTTTGGAAGAAATAGGATTCTTTGTCTACTTGCAGTACAGATCTCTGTCCACCCTTTACACAAAGCTTTTCTACTAATACATAAACACTTATTGAAACTTCTCCTGAATTTCCTTCTTCCACCAAATTGTATAAAGTTCTGTCTCTTCTGTGAGATGCTTACATCCATACCTTTTCTGTGTGGGTGCTTGGCTACAAGTGAACTTCACTGTCAGAATGCATGTTTGATTCTTTTACTGTAGACCACCTTGGAAATAAATGTATGCATAGAGCTCTAATTGCACTGATTTTAGTAAATATATTTATATATTATTTTGTGTAAATATACAATACTTGACTTTTCAGTTTTTTAAGGGATATATTTCTCAGCTCCAGTTTTTAAAATCAACATTATTAAGGTATAGTTTACATTCCATAAAGACATCCCATGTGATATGTACAGCTTAGTGATTTTTAGTCCACTTTTAGAATTGTACAGCCACCATTAGAATCTGGTGTGAGAATGTTTTCATCATCCTGGAAGGTTCTCTTAAGCTGCTTAGCAATTGATCTCTGTTCCTATATCCAGCCATACACATATTGATCTGCTTTCTGTCTGTAATTTTTAGCTCATTAGTCTTACTGCATATTTGTTTTTTAAAACCTCTTTCTGTGCATATATTTTTTTCTAGGATGAAGGCTTAAGGCTCAGAAAGGTAGCACATTCGGATAAACCTGGATCAACCTCAACTGCTTCCTTCAGAGATAATGTCACCAGTCCTCTTCCTTCACTTCTTGTTGTAATTGCAGCCATTTTCATTGGATTCTTTCTAGGGAAATTCATCTTGTAGAGTGAAGCATGCAGAGTGCTACTACTACTACTACTACTTTTTTTTTTCCTTTCTCTTGACCAGAAAAGATTTGTTTACCTACCATTTCATTGGTAGTATGGCCCACGGTGACCATTTTTTTGTGTGTGTGTGTACAGCGTCATATAGGCTTTGCCTTTAATGATCTCTTACGGTTAGAAAACAATACAAACTGTTCGGCTACTGGACAAATTGTATATTACCAGATCATCACTAGCAGATGTCAGTTGCACATTGAGTCCTTTATGAAATTCATAAATAAAGAATTGTTCTTTCTTTGTGGTTTTAATAAGAGTTCAAGAATTGTTCAGAGTCTTGTAAATGTTATTTTAATAATCCCTTTAAATTTTATCTGTTGCTGTTACCTCTTGAAATATGATTTATTTAGATTGCTAATCCCACTCATTCAGGAAATGCCAAGAGGTATTCTGTGGGGGAATTGGTGCCTCTTACCATGTAAATTTTCTCCTTTACCTTTGCTAATATCATGGCAGAATTTTTCTTATCCCTTGTGAGGCAGTTGTTGACTGAGTTTTTCATCCTTACAATCCTGTCCCATGGTATTTAACATTAAAAAAAAAAATAAAACTGTTAACAGATTCTTGCTCGATAGCTTGTTTGTGTCTGTCTTGTCATTAGATGGGGATACCAGGGAGTCTCCTATATGGTAATTTGGAATTTATACTGCATAATTTACGCACATTTAAACCATTTTGGATATTAATAGTATTTGTAGCTAAATGTCCTCAATCTAGTAAAGAAAGGAATTGATTAAATTTCAAGCTACTTTTGGCATTTTGGAAGATCATAAGCAATTTGTCTTAAAGATAATACGAAAAAAAGAGTAAATACCATGAGAATAAAAACGCTGTAATTTTGGTCACTTTATGTGTATACCTTGTGGCTATTGTGTTTGATTTACCCCCTTCTTAACAGTTTCTCTTATTTTTAGTATCTCAAGGAAGATTAATTTTCTTTTGTTCTAGTCAAGTGGTTTTCAACCAGCCTAGTAATTCTTCCTACTCAATTTAAGACTCAAAAGTAAATTTCCGTTATGGAAATTTGGTATTTACTGAGCAAGCCTTGTGAATTTTTCTTTCTGAAAAATTACTTTATTCTTTGCAAATCTGCTAAATTTTGTGAGTCACATTCTTAGTATAAATATTCAGTAGAGGGCCTGATACTTTCCTGCACTTAGTCTCTTATGTTTTCACTTACTTCATTTGTCCTAGCATAGAAAATTTTGAAACCAGAGACAATATATTCAGTTTTTTTACTGAGTACCGTCTATATGACTACAAGGAATTTTGATTTCTGAGAGTATGTGTTGGTTTCATAAGAGATGTACTTCTGTCTAAAAGGGAAATTGGACTTTGGGACTAGATGTGGTGCAGTAAAGTGTTAGGCCCAGATCTGTGTATACACTTTATTAATGAAACGATCTAAAATTTTGTTGCCTTTTTTAAGTATGTTTTGAATTTGTCAGATCATATGTATTATGTCAATTGTGTTTTATGGTATCTTATAAAACCTCTTGCTTGTGTGTAAAAGTTACTGAAAAAACACAAGTAATGCCTATCCATTACAGCATGCTGTTGCAGGTAATGTTTCTGTTGTATGCTTTACATTCGTAACCCTCTCGGCCCCATCTTTTTTTCCTTGATAACTGGAAAAGCATGCAAAAAAAGTCTTTGATTTTTATCCCATAAATTCAGAATCACTGATTCCTTGGCTTGAAGCTTTCTATATAATTGACATTGGTGATAAGCATCAAGCTTGAGATTTTCATAGCTATCCTCTAAAAAAATTTAAGATCTCAGACATTTAGTAAAGTCCCGTTTTATGGGAATGTTCTTTAGAATTTATTTTGTTCATCCTCCCTTTTAGTTGTTGAAGAATCTGAGACTTTTACAAGGGTTAAGGGAACTTTCCCTGTATCTTGCAGGTAGGTAAAGGCAGAGCTGGAAATAGAAATTTGCTCTCTTGACTAGCTCAGTGGTAACTTTGTAGAAAAAGAAAATTGTCTTAATTTGACATGACAAATGAGTATAAGATGCTATTTAAAAAGTCTGAAATTTCCTATCATAAGATTGTATTATGGGACTACTATTGAACAATCCTATGTTTTGGTGTTTAGGGTAGAAATCCCCCTACCTCCCACCACGGGTAATAAACATGATTTGCAATGTACTTTACGAAATGCATTATACAGTAGTTGGTTTTGAGATAGATTGTAGTCTGGGTAACATCTGCAAAATAAAGTGTACATGGGCTTCTTAGTGTTTACATATTGGGAGATGGTCTGATTGTATAGGAGACTTGATTCTTTTTAATTGCTGTATAAAATGTGATCAGATTATTTTACTACAATCGTTACTTTAAAAGTCCAGTTGTATTAATTGACTGATAATATATAGATTAAATTGTTTGTCTTCATTCCTCCCATGTTTAGAGATTTTTGCTTTGTCTGCCTGCTTACTTGTATATGTAAGCATGAGGGAAATATACTGTTGCTAATATGAAATCACAATTGAGTAACTAAGGCCTTAAGTTCATTATGTGACGCTAAATGCACTACCTTCCTTCATTCTCTTTATAACTCTAATGTACCTTAACTTTACCCATTCTTGTATTTACCACAAACAAATTTAAGAACTGTATTCTGAGTGTGGTATGTTATCTTAAAAAAAAAAAAAAAAAGACACTTGGAAAAAAATATGTATCAAAATCAGAAAATTCTGGTCAAAGAAAAGTAATACTTTCAAGTATCTTACAGCTCAGGAGTTCTCCAAAATTGATACCTGTTATGGGAATTACCTTTGGATTGTAAACATACAAAATATACACTTTGAAAACAAGTTTTATCAGTAAGGGAAAAAAGAAAACAAAGGGTATATCCCCAAGTTGTGATCTTCTGCCCCTTTGAAAGCATTAAAGTAACAGATTTCCTAGAGTGGTGCACCTTCCTACTCTGGTTTTTGGTTTGTGCATAGATTTTCAAGTCCACCTTTCGGAGAGTTAGGGAAAGATCATGTTTACCGTATGAAAAAACAAGATATAAGAAGGTAAATGATCTTTATTTTCTAGCTTTCAAAGGAAATTAAACTATGCGTGAATAAATAAAATGTTTAAAAATGTGGTGAAGTGTCATATTCCTTTTCCAAAGACAAAGGTGTTTGATTTCAACAGATCATGATGTTTTTATGTTTATATTCTATCAAGTAGTAGCCAGTCATTGACTGGGACTTGAGTGCTTTTGGCAGCTGGTGTTGGCTTGTGATGTAGAGGTTGAAGTCCTCTATTAGGAATTGAGGGCAGCTGGATTTTTCAGTGGCATATTTGATGACCCTTTGTTAGTAGAAGCCTTGCTCAGTCTACCAAGGGACTAATACAAAATTGCAACATTCATCCTTGAAAATTTTATCTACTTTGCTGATTGTAGAAATAAAGTATGTTAGAGAATTTGAGAAATGACTATAAAAAATGTGAAGCCCTTCCCATCTAACAGTTTCGATGAACATTTTATTTCCTTTTAATATTAATGGTCTTTAAGCATAATCATAATGTTGCATACAATTTTTTCCAGTTGATCATTTTACTGTACACCACAAATGACTGAAATAACTTACTACAATCATTACTGTGACATAATGGCTTTTTTAATGTAAAGCATGCTTAACTGTGTAATTCCCTTTCTAATTATGCGTGCCCTCCTATCACCACACTTATTTACAAACTCAGTTGCAGGTAACTTTTAAGAGAGCTTTTTTCCTTAAACAGTGATAACTCAAAAATATTAAACCAAAGCAGTGTTTATCATGGCTTAAAAGGTCTGGAATAGTGCTTTTAAAGCTCCAGTGATTCGTTTTTACATGTAAAGCCAGGAAACAAAGATGTTTAAATGCCAAAGCCTGAAAAGATAGGATGTAAATCTGTTACAGGGCAGGGAGACAGGGGTACCTCTGAACCCCCAAACCTGCCTTCTCTAAATAGGTTCTGCCATCCTCTGCAGCAAGACAAAACATGACCTTTAATGGAAGGGAACTTTAATACAATGAGAGTACAATATACAAATGACAGAATACAGTTTATAAATCAAACTCCCCAAATTACCCATCCCTTGTGGGTTAAAGTCTACCCAAAGGGGATTGGCCCAAAGCATACCATAAGTCTAAAGTACCGTCCAGTAGGGACCTGTGAAAAACAGAAATGGCCAGATAAGTATAGAGGAAGAGAGCAAAATCAAATTAAGATAAATGCTGTTATAGTTAACCTCCCCCTGGGTCTCAGATCTGTTCCAACCACACCAGGACCAAGAAGCAGCAAGCAGAGTTCTTCACCTGTAGAGACAGGTGTACCTCCCTCAGGTCTCCTCCTGGCTCTATCCTGCTTGCTTTCTCTTCAGCTTCCTCTCCAGATTCCTCTCTTCTCAGGTCCACCCTCCTTTTGGGTGGGACAGGGAACCTGGAACCTACCCTTTTTCCTGGGGACCACACTTAAAAATCTAACAGGGTAGGGATTGCTGAAGTCACTCAAGTATTGCAAGAGTGTCTATAAAATTAGGGATCTGAGAACACCAATACACTTTATGTGTGTGTGTGTGTGTGTGTGTATATATATATGTATATATATATATATATTTTACATCATTGTGTATCCTATAAAGTTCCCACCACCACTACACCTGTGAACCATCACCATAGTCCCTTGTGCTTTTCTCTCCCGTTTTGATTCCTTTTCCTCCTATTCTCTCACAGAATGTCTCAGATTGATGGTTGTGTACTTTTGTTCTTTTGATATTTTTTTTTTAACTGATTATTTGGTTCCCCTATATTCCTCCTATGAGTGAAACCATTAAATATTTTTCTTTTCCTTCTGGCTTATTTCACTGGAGATGAAATCATGTTACTTCTAGCTCCCACCATGTTACTGCGAGTGGCATAAGTTTATTTTGGCGAAAATGTGGATTGAGTTTTACGGGATTTGCTTGTTAATTAGCCACTTTGTTAATTACCACCTAAGATTTATTTTTTCCTCATTTCTCGCAAGTGTAAGATCATTTCAGGATATTTATCACTGAGTCAGGTTTTTCTTTTCAAGGTTGGTTTGTTTATGCTTACAGAACTGGGGTACAGACCAGAGGTGCAGGGGCAGTGAGAGGATTCATCAGAGACAGTGGGGAGCAGAGCAGGCAGATTGACAAAGTTCAATGCTGAGGGGAGCAGTGGGCGGGTCAGGAGAGGTGTGCCATGCCATGTGGGTCAGCTCCCTGGCTGCCTGGGATCAAACTCCTGCTGCAGTAGCTTCAGAGAACTTAATAATGCGGCACTTTAACCCCTAGCGCCACCAGGGAGAGCCTGAGTCAGGTATTTTTAGGTCAACTCAATTACTCTGTGTCCAGATCCTATTAAATAGTTGCTGTTCTGATCTCCATTGTATGAAAGGGGGAAACAGCTTAAAACACTCAAGTTTACACAGCTTTAAGTAACAGGGCAGGTGTTGGAAGAATGCTGAGATGATATTCCAAGTAATTGAAATTTGTTTTACATTCCTGATAAACTACTCATTTTAGTACATTGTTTCAAGAAGTAGAGGTGGCCTTTGGTGGCACAGCGGTTAAAGCATAGAACTGCAGTCTAGCTGCAGCTGCTTCAGTGCCAGGTGGATCCCTGCCCCAGAGCTGATCCATATGGTGCAGTAGACAGCTCCTGCCTTGCCCGCTGCTTGCCTCAGCAGTGTACTTTGTCAGTTGGCCTGTTCTGCCCCCACTCTGTCTCTGGTGAATCCTCTCACTGCCCCTGCTCCTCTGGCCTGTACTCCAGCTCTGTGTGCATAAATACAATACATCTTTTAAAAAAAAAATAAGTTAGGAGTTAAAAGAGTTTCAGTACAGCTTCTCTCTTCCTCCCCCCTCATTACTACCCCCCTTCCCCTGTGGGTTAGATGCAAACTTGCTTTTGCTTTGTGTGCTACTTTAACCCAAAGTGTATGTTATTAAGTGTATATAGTATGTATAAATTTATGAGGGTATAAAGTACTATTTCACCTGAAAAATTCCACTTATATTTGAGAATCAAAGGAAAGTTTTCTGCAACTTGTTTGGATGCGTTTGTTTTTTATGGATTTAATTGTAATAAAATTTAGATTTTGTTTCATAAGTTTAATCATGTTTAATTACAAGCTATAAATGAATTCTCATCTCCCCAGATGAAAAATGCTCTTGCACTTTGAGACACACCCTAGCCCCCATGAAATTTGTCAACCAGGAAAGCTATTATGTTTTAAGAAGCCCTAGTTTCTTACCAAGAAATAAGGAAGTGTCTTACTAAGAATCTTGATTTTTAACTGGATGAAATGATTCTGTTGTAAGGTAAGTGGTAGATGGAATGGGAATTTCAGGAAGATAAGTATCTTCATATAAGATAATAATATATGATATTTACATATAGAGAGATACATATCTCTATATATAGTAACAATTTTGTTAAGAGTTTAGCAGTTCACTGAAGTGATAAATGATATAGTTCCCAGCAAATGGTGTGAAGCTTTACATATGTAAGCAATTCCCAGTGAATACTTAGTTTACCAAACAATAGGAAATGGGGTATTGCGTTTGTGTGATGTGTTTCCCATCCCACAGTAGTGTGGGAATAGTTGGGCTGTAGTGGCTGAAGGTGTTTCCCCCTTGCTTTATTTTTATATATTTTTTCATTACAAAGTTTTCCCCAGTTTTAACTTCCACATATTTGCTTTTGATTTTTTGGTTTCTTTTAAGGGGCAAATCATGAAGGATAATAACAGTTTCTTTTACACCCTCTGTAATCACATTTCCCTCTGTCAATATGAATTTGTGTGTGCTATGCTTGTTTGTGCTTTAGTAGTTCACATGCATGTAATCATTATATAGTGTATTTCACATGTTAAAACATGACATGTTCTTTACAGAATATTTCTGTAGCGCTGCCCTCACCTGAATTTTTTTCTTGGGAGCCCTGACATGACCCATGTATGTCCCTCGTGAGTCTCATTTGTTCCCTGAATTACTACACATTTTCTCATTTTATTTGCTTGCACCTTTTGTAATTATGTTCTCTTGCTGCCAATGCTAGAACTGATTATGACACCATTAACTACCAAAGTCCCGTCGGCCACCACTGCTGACTCTACAGCTCTTGTGTGGACAAGTCTAGGTCAGATGTGAAATCTGGACAGAGGACAACTGGTCTGGCAAGTGTCCTAAAAACCACCTGCTCTGAGACTATATATGTGGCTAGAGGCAGGCCCACATAAATGAAGTAAGATGGGATATATTCTGCAAATAATGTGTGAGATGTTTGACACACCCTAGTTACTTGTGTTTGTGCTGTGGACTGTACATTTGTGTTGTGTGGAGATGATTTTTCTTGAATATTTTGGAAGTCATTAAATGTTCCCCAAATGTCAAATTACTGATTTGATTTCAAAATTAGGAACACAGGATTTTTATTTCCAAATGCAGTTTTCTGGAGCTGAGTAGTAGTTTTACATTCAGTCCCCATAACTTATATTCTTTTTTTTTTCTCAAAGATTTATTTATTTGTGCATACAGAACTGGGGTACAGGCCAGAGGTATGGAGGCAGGGAGAGGATTCATCAGAGACAGAGTGGGGAGCAGAACAGGCAGATCGATGAAGTACACTGCTGAGAGGAGCAGCGGGTAGGTCAGGTGAGGTCTGCTGCGCCATGTGGTCACCTCTGGGGTGGGGGTCGGATTTATGCTGAAGAGGCTTTAGCTCAGTACTGTGCTTTAACCTGCTGTGCCACCAGGGTGGGCCCTGTAACTTATATTCTTACCTGTTAGTTCACTGCATAATTCCTGTATTCATCTAAATTTGTGATACTGGTTTACATGTTTATCACATACTGTTAATATTGAGTACGTGTGCTGGGATTTTGTGGGAGTAGATGGAAAGTAGGATAAGTTTATAACCATGGAATTTAGTCCTGGGCTATGTGTAGGGGGCTCCTATTGTCAGGAGGTGAATAGTGGTTAGTGACCTGTACAGCAGATGGTGGGTATCAGTGTGCAAAACATGGCTCACGGCAAGGCAGCAAGTCTGAAGAACAGTAAGAACTACTTTCAAGGAGTACCAATTGCAG